GGATGGCAGAGCTGCACTGCTTGCTAGCCTTGGTCTCGGTCTGATTTGTGGAGCACACTGAACTACCCACACCAAACTGTTTTCTGAGAAAAAGTTAAGTTCTATTTGGTTGAGCCACTGCATTTTTAGCCTTCACCCTACTACAGCTGGAGTACAGAACTCCACATTGGAAATCACTTTCCCCCAAAACGTTGAAGGCGCTGCTCCACTGGTGTGGAGTGTTAGTATTCAGAGGATCAAGGCCATTCAGATTGCTGATCCTTAGCATGTGGTCTATTTTCTCTCTGGAAGCTTCTGCAAGACCCTTTTCTGTGAGACTAGTGTTCTGATATTTCACGATGTGCCTTGATGCTGGGCACTTAATGGGTCCTTTTCATCTAGAAACACAAGTCCTTTCTTCCCTTTGTTTTCTCTGTTCTCAGAGAATTTAAGCCCCCTGGACTGATTCTCTAATTTTCTCACGTCATCTTTCCTATATGCCACCTTCTTTCTTTTGCTTTACTTGCTGGGAGAGTGCTTCAATTTCTGTTTCAACCCTTTTGCTCAATTTTTCATTCTTTCCCTCATGGTTTTATTTATTTATTTATTTTTTGCGGTACGCGGGCCTCTCCTGTTGCAGAGCACGGGCTCCGGACGCGCAGGCTCAGCGGCCATGGCTCACGGGCCCAGCCGCTCTGCGGCATGTGGGATCTTCCCGGACCGGGGCGCGAACCCGTGTTCCCTGCATCGGCAGGCGGACTCTCAACCACTGCGCCACCAGGGAAGCCCCATGGTTTTATTTTTCAAGTGTGTTTTCTTGGATTCAATCCTTTATTATAGTATCTCTGACCTAAGCGCGTCAATATTTTTTTTTTCCTTAAGTTTTATTCTATGTCATCGAAGGGGGGGATTTTTTGGTTTGATTGGGTTTTTCTTTTTGTTTATTTTGGTCTCTGCCTTCCATGTTAGAAAGTTTCTGTAAACATCTAAAAATCTTTTGTCTTATGTCTGCTCATTTTAAGGGTGACATGCTAAGAAGTTGACTAGAAGATCTGTGGACACAGTTGGGACTTATCAACTGCGGGTTTCACTATGGGGTGATCCGGCTAACTGCTTTGCTGGAGTACCCCTGATGTTAATACCCTTAGATCTTTCCTCTGAATAGTCAAATTCCCCAGATGAGAGTCTTCCAGTCTCTGACCTGGAAGGCAAAGCCTGGCTGCCAGAGTTCTAGAAACCACCATTCAGTAAATAAACTTTCACTCAATCTGTTTTAAATACAGTCATGCCCAGGTGCCCTCCATGCCAAAGACTCTCTGGTTTCCATCTCCAACCAAGAAACCTCCAGCAATCTGATGAGTTGGGGGTGAGTAGCTGCCAAGATATATGAGGATATAAAGGAGGAGATAGGGGGGTCTAACTACTTCAAATAATCCCCCTAATTTTAGTACTACCTACAGCCCAGCTGTACTGTGATGCCACTGATTTAAGGGTAAATCAACTTGCTTCTAAGCCAATCAACTATATTTAATAAAAAATTAAATTAAATTTTTAAAAAAGTTGCTTCTAAGCTTTCTTCACTGCTAGCTTAATTACTTCACTGCTAAATCAGTTACCACACACCCTTCTGTCTTGCAATTTCTATTTAAAGTTTTGCTATTAACTCCTCTGTCTCCTTGACTCCTTTCTAAAATCCCCTTATTGCTATCTTCCTAGAATTTAGTAAAGGAGTGAAGTTAAACGCTAGATCCCTCAAGTTTAACTGAAAGTCTCCACTCGTTTGCTAACCCTGTGCAAACTGGCTTCATTCTCAATCTTCCATAAACTGTCAAGATTGATCTTTCCTAAAAGGTACAGCTGGTCAGAATACACTTCTTGAAAATCCTTCAAAGGCTCCCAAATGCTTTCAAAATAAAGTCCAAATTCCTTAGCTTGCAAGCCATTTCCTCATCTGGTTCCCCACTCCAGTCTCCCCAGTCACACCTATCCACCACCACACTGCGTTCACTCCAGTCAAACTGAACCCCTTGCTGGACTTCCAATGTGTCAGTCCCCTCACACCACCATGCGCTTGCCTGTGCCTTCCGCTTTTCCACTCCAAGCTCTCATCCACCTGGTTAAGCCTTCAGATTTAGTTCAAGCAGGATTTCCTCCCAGAATCCTTTCTCTGTGTTCCCAGAGACACACCCTGGGCGTAGCCCTAACGAAACATTTATCCCACTATCACGTGAGAGTCCACCTCACTCACCTTTGTATTCCCAGAGCCAACCACATTAACAGGCGATCAGAGAGGGAAAAGGCTGATAGGAGCCAGCTTCTCAGAATATACTGACAGTCCGTGTTTCAGGGCTCCCGTTCAGGGGGAATCGCTAGGGCGAATAAGGTCACACTCACCAAGTCCGGCTTTCCCCAGGCTCCGATAGGTGGCGGAGTGGGATAGGCAAACACAGGGTCCATGGCTGTCCACTCTGTAATACCCCAGCGCTCCCACCATCATGACCTAGCACCCAGCAGACGCTCACTAAATTCTTGTAGAAGAAATTAAACACAGACCACAAGCCAGTGTCGTAAAGGTGGACAGGTTTGAAGGGCGTGAATATTTCGATATTGCCTCTTACCACAGGTGGTCACGCGGTGGTGGCGCAGACCTGGGCATGCGCAGGAGACCCTGGGAGTTGTAGTTCACCAGGTGAACCGAGAAGGGCGAGACGGTGCTGAGCATCCCGGGAACTGTAGTGTTAGCTAAGGGGCGCGCTCTGCGCGGGCGCAAACCAACAGCCATTTCCGGGCACTTTTCCACAGCATTTCGCAAAAGAAGAGAATCCCGGAGTAACGATGGCTACCTACAGCTTGGCGAACGAGCGATTACGCGCCCTGGAAGACATCGAGCGGGAAATTGGAGCCATTCTTCAGAATGCAGGTTCGGGATACGACGACCAGAGGAGGAGCGGCAGCGAGAGCGTGAGCTAGACCGACCGTGTGCACATGCGCCGACCGGTGACTGGGAGTGGGGTTAGGAGGGATCCTAAGTGGGTGCAGGGGTGGGTGGGGCTGGCTCTGGGGCGCAGCTATACTGGCAGTCTCCGGATAGCCCCGCCCACTCTCCACCCCGGCAGGTACAGTGATCTTGGAACTTTCCAAGGAAAAAACCAATGAGCGGCTCCTAGACCGACAGGCAGCCGCCTTCACCGCGTCGGTGCAGCACGTGGAGGCGGAGCTGTCGGCTCAGATCCGCTATCTCACTCAGGTGTGTGTGTGTGTGTGTGTGTCGTTTGTGGTGTGTCTTTGTGTCTGTAGTGTGTGTGTGTGTGTGTGTGTGTGTGTGTGTGTTTTGGGCCGTGCAAAGCTCAGATCCGCTATCTCACTCAGGTGTGTGTGTGTGTGTGTGTGTTTTGGGCCGTGCAACACGTCCACCCCAGCTCACTGCCTTAGCCTTTAGCCTTCAGGAGTCCCGGGCAGAGCTTTGGTCTCGAGAGCTAAGCAAGACCAGCCCTTCCCAGCAGGCCTGTTGACCCTGGCAGGACCCCTCCCTTGGGAGAGGGTGTGTAAACAATACGAAAGCCACAGGATATGCTCTTAGAAACTTGACCAGACCTCAGGGGTATGGAGCCCCAGATGGCTACCTCCTGAGAAAAGGAACAGGATTGAAAGGGTTCTGAGGTCATTATAACAGCAACTACCATTTACTAAACTTTTACAGTGTGCCAGACACTCTGCATTATCTAATCCTATAACAACTCTAGAAAGTAGTTAGTTACTGTCATCCCCATTTTACAGATGAGGTTAACAGAAATTCAGTGATATGCCCTAGGTAATCCAGCTAACCACGTGGCATAGCAAATTCAGACTCAGGGAAGAAATGAGGCAAGAGACCTGATGCCTGGTTGGGGAGATGGGAAAGGGGAGGAGTGCTTCTTTGATCAATCTAAATGTCCTGTAGGTGGCCACAGGGCAGCCCCATGAGGGCTCCAGCTACTCTTCGAGGAAGGACTGTCAGATGGCCCTGAAGCGAGTGGACTATGCTCGTCTCAAGCTCAGTGAGGTGGCTCGAACCTGTGAGCAGATGCTGGAAAACTAGGCCAAGCAGGTGAAAAGCTTGGAAGGAGAGCTCCACCTACACCCCAGGACAGAACCTGGAGAGCATGGGCTGCCCCGTACATGTGCTGCTGGTCAGAAGCCATGAGGACGAAGGCACAAAAGGTGGGAATGGAGAACCTTAAAGACCAAGCCCATGCCTGGCTGTGCCCTGGCTCCTCTTGCCATGCACTTCACCGAGCGCTGACAAGCTCAGAACAGGAGACAGAGACTCAAGACACCCAATCCACTTCCTCAGGTCCCTGCCCCAGGCTTCTGGTAGACTTGGACCAATGAAGACACATTTTTGTTCACTGGAAACGATAAAATGAGAACTAAGGGTTTTGATAATAAAAACAATAACACTAACAACAAGGAGCTCAGACTCTCATTGGGGCATATATGGGTGATGTAAGGGGTTGAGGAAGTAAAACCAGGCTGTATGGCAGCTACTGAGGAGGGAGGGTGGGAAAGCGGGAGAGGGCTGAAGTTGGGGAGGAACACTGCTGTGGTGTGAAGAGACAAGGACAAGGACAAGACACAAGGGACTTGGGACAAGGAGGTTGGCAGGGATTGGGGGATGCGCTGAGGGGTAAGGTGTCAGGTGGCCATCAGCAGAGAAGCTGAAGCCAGGAATCATGGTAAGGGGGCAAGGGCATGAGACCAATGTCTGCAGAAAGAAGAGTCAATAATTATAAAAATAAGTTTTAGTAGTTAAAAAATCCACATATAGAATTTGTACAAAATATCTAGTGTAAGAGGTGATTTTACATTACAGCATAGAAAAAAAAAACGGAACGTCTAAGAGAGGGCAGTGGCTGGTTAGTTGTGTATTAAACATCGACAAATATGTAGAGAGTGCCTACCATGTGCCAGGGATTGCTCTAGTATATTAACTGCATTTGATACTGAATAAATCATAATCTGCCCTCACAAGCTTCCATTCTTTAAGCATTGGCGTCTGCTGCCACGTGCACATAATGAAGGTGCAAATCTGGAAAAGATAAAGAAATTGAGAGATGAGCTCTGAGATCAAGGGAAGTTGGGCAGGGGAGTGGGGGGCAAGGGGTGATAGCTTGAACTGGGGAATCAGCTTCCAAAACATTGACTATAGATCAGGTACACAGTAGGTGCTCAATAAAGATGTGTGAACTGAATGAATAGCTCCCACCTTCCTCCATCGCTTCATCTCCCACTCGTCTGCTCTAGCTGCCATCTTGATGTTGCTCAAGCACTGCCTGGCTTTGAAGGCCATGCTCTGGTCCCTGGGCCTATGGTGGCTTCCCTCCCTCCCCATTCTGTAGTCTGGCTGACTCTCCCCTCATCGCCTATTGTCCGTGGTGCAGGCAGCCTCCACATTTGCCGGCCTGAGAGCTACTGTGGGCAGGATCCCTGCCAAGGAGCCTCTGGATCCCTGGAGGAGGGGTTCAGAGGCCCAGTTTACCTGGAGGACACTGCAGTGACTGCTCCCTCCTCTTCTTGCACAGCATGTAGAGCAGGGCTCCAGTGAGGAGGAAAACGATGCCCAAGAGGGACAGCACTGGCACCATGGCTGATGTCCCAGCTGCAGGACCCACATTCTCTCCCAGCTGCCTCTGGTTCCCCCTGGCCCCAGGCCTTGCCCCCAGACGGTGGCCCAAAGTGTAAGTGGTAGTCTCATTGGTGTGGATGAGCTTTTGGTCCAGCGAAGGTGCTCCTTCTGGAGTGGTGGGCTGCTGGGTAGGCTGCAGGGTGGATGGCAGGTACTTCTGTGCGGGGGTGCCCGTGGCTGAAGGTGTCTTTTCTGTGGGCTCAGGAACCTGGGTGCTGCGGGGAGGTGCATGTCCCTGGCGGGCCACACTCCTGGCGTGAGCACGTCCACATTCTGAAGAAGCAAGAAGTGAGGAATCAGGGCTATGAGGGGATAAGGTGAACTAGATAGAGGGAAGGGTAGCGGGGTCAAGGAGAACATCAAGGGAACAGCTAAATGCCAGGAAAGAAAGGCAGGGGCAGAGGGGAAACATGGGGAGATGGAAGTGAGCAAACCACAACATGGAACCACAGGCGCGAGCATGATTCTGAACTGGGAAGTCAGGAGACCTGGGTTGGAACCCGGGCTCTGCTACAAAGTAGCTGTGACCTTGCCCCTTGTCTCTTAACCTCTCTGGGATTCATTTCTTTCAGCTGTAAAGCAGGGATAATTTTAGTACTAAAGGCCAGAGTAGACAGGAAGAGTAAATGAATAAGGTAGGTCTACGTAGCCAAAGGGCAGTATGGGTACCACCAATGCTACAGAAAGCAACTTTAGCTGGGACCTGGAAGAACACTTTGTGTCTTAATGGTTGTGTATTTATTTTAGGAGAAAAATACAACCAGCATATCAAATTTGTGACTTCACAGATGTTCCTGCTTAGGACTAGTTGCCATTAAGTTTTTCAGAAGTGGCTGTGTACATTTAAGATTTATTCGTTTCATTGTTTGTAAATTTTACCTCAAAAGAAAAAAAAAGGAACAATAAAATATAAAACCCTCCTTAATAGTATACATGATGAAGTGTCTGGGGATAAAGTATAGTCAACCCTGCAACTTACTTGGAAGTGCACCAAAAAATATTAGGCAGGTTGATGAGGAATAGAGGGATGGATAGATAGATGGGCGTGCAATAAAGCAAATGTAGTTAAAATGCTGTAGACTCGACATTGTAAAATATAAAATATATTTGCTTTATTATGTACACACATAAAATATAAAAATCAAATATAGAATCTAGGTGGTGGGTATATGGATGTTCACTGTACAAATCTTTCAACTTTTATGTATGTCTTTAAATTTCCACAATAAATTACTGGAAAATAAAAATAGTGCCTTGATTTCAAGGAAAACATTAAGTAAATGCACAGGTGATAGGATGAATTGGCAAAAATCCTGGAAGTGACGGTGAGTGATTTCTGGTAAACAGGGACTTAAGTGAAAGTACACAGAATAGGAATGTGAGGTGTCAAAGGGGAAAGCGCTGAGGCAAAGAAAAGTGTAAGGTGGAGGCGGCCGACCCTGGAGACAGAGCCTGGGGAGGAGGGAGAACGCGCTCACCTTCACGATCAAAGCAGCGCATCAGTTCCTGGACCCACCGGTCACTGCTGCCTCCACACACACTTCCCAAGGGTAGCTGGAACCTGTAAGGAAGGACGTGGTCTCAGCTGTGTCTCCAATCTCCACCCCCCTTCCCTCCCCCCACTTTCCCAGCTCTTTCCTCGTTCCAAAGAAGTGAGGTCACTGCCAAGATTCAGCAGTTTCTGCTGGGACTGGGAAATTCCAGGCGGGACAGGGAAACTAAGGTGTGGAGAATTAGGGCACACATAACCTGATGTTATGGGGACTATAGAAAGGACTAGGGGTCCTCCCAGAAGGAGTTCAAGTTTGACCAGATAGGGTCCTGGAGGCACCCGGAGGCTCTGTGCTCCCAGGGGTGGTTGAGATTACCTGACGTAGGAAGAGCAACGTTGATAGACTTTCAGGTATTTTCGGAGATGTCCCATGTATTGATCGTTAAGAGGGGAGTGGGAAGAAATTCTTCTATCACAGGGACAACTGCCAGCGATGCTACCTTCATTGCCATCACCTGAGCGGGACCGAGGTGGTCAGCACAGTTTCCCAGGTTCAGGGGCTCACGCAGCGGTAAACTCAGCCTCCAACCCACAGCCCCACTGCAGCCTCTCCCCTAGACCCGGGGATCTGAGCCCCTTCCACCCACAGGGCTCAACTCACACATCACACTCCCCAAACACGTCCATAATCACACCTGGGCTCTGGTGTTCCCCAGCCCATCCCCAACCCCAGGCAGCTGGCCCTCCCCCTGCCCCGGCTGCCTTGGGGACCCTGGCTCCCCACTTATTCAACTCAACCCCGCGGCCCTCGTGCCCCCCATCCCCTTCACCGGATTCGGGGATCTGGGCACCAGCCGGGCCCCTGACGAACCTGGAGGAGTGTGGCACGCTAGAAAGAGTAGGAACAAGAGGAACCGGAGTTCCGAGACCAGCATCATCTCGGGCCCGCCTCGTCCCGTCTGACTCCCAGACGTGCTCCGGAGCCTGACGTCCAGCCCGCTTCTCAATGGCTTTCGCTTCCTTCTCCCGCTACGCCTGAGATTCTGCGGGAGACGGAGGCCGTCGGCACCAAGGCCGGGCCGAGGCGAGGCGCGAGGTGGTGGCGCCTCCCTCTGGGCGCCCTCACCGTCTCGAACCAGTAAGTGCGGTCAGTACCGTTGTAGCCGCGTGATCGCCAGCCTGGGACGTCGGGGAAACTCCGGGAGGCGGAGCGCCTCTGCCCGCGCTCCCGCACCCAGCCCAGTGCCCCGTCGAGGAGGCAGCCAGGAATGTTTGCAGAAGGCGAAAGAAAGCGGAAGAAAGTCCAGGCTGCAGGGCCAGGCACGGCGGGTGGGCACTGCCCACTAGGCTGATCCGGTTCGGCCCGGGGATGCCAGCCCCGCCCGCCCTCCGCAGGTCAGTCGGCTGGACCTCCTCCTTCGAGAGGCTTTCACTTTTCGGGCTCGAGTCCGGCGCACCGGGATCCAGTCACGAATCCAGTCACATGGCTGGAGTGACCGCGGCAGACGAGTCCGCGCGCCCAGCAGCACACTGACTGCCCTGAGAGCCTCTGCGCAGCGCAAGACACGGGGGGCGTGGCAACCGGAGGAGCCGGCAGGGGCTCGGGCAGCCTGACGTCACGCCCCACCCCGAGGTATTTACCTTCGAAAAGTGGTGGCGGCTGCAGGTACCGGAGTAGCGGACCGGACGGGAGGGGCTAGGTGTACCGGGGCTCACCGCCAAACCTATCCCAGCCGAAGATGCCCTAGCTCCTGTCCCCCTCCTCCCACACCCCACAGACGGATCCAAAACTCTTCCCTCCTCACCAAACCCTTGCCCATAGGATTAGCCCTCTCCCACTTCTATCCTCAACTCAAACCCTACCTTTGAGGGTTTGAGCCTCAAATTTTGAGCCCCAAATACCATCTCCCTCCCGACTACTCAACCTTAACCCTATCACCCACTTTCAAGTCTGGACCCCATTCTCACCCTGAATTCCCATCCTCCGCCCTGAAAACTCCTTCCTCACTCCTAACACTCATCCATAGATTCCACCCTAAGTGACCCTCAAACCCACAATTTCCCCCCATTTTATGACCCAGCCCCAAACTCTCCCGAGTACCTCTCTCTCACCATATATCCCTCCCTCTGCTCAGTCTGGGCCCAGGCCTTGTTCCCCTGAAGACATGGAGTTTGTGTCTGGATACCGGGATGAGTTCCTTGATTTCGTTACCCTCCTCCTTGGCTGGTTCCGCAAGTTCGTGGCGGAGCGTGGGGCCGTGGGGACCAGCCCGGAGGGTTGCTGGTGGCAGCTGGAGGGTCAGATCAGAAGGCTGCCCCAGGACCGCGCCCTTTGGGTGCTCCACGTCTTGCCCAACCGTAGTGTGGGCATCAGCCTGGGGCAAGGGGCAGAGCCAGGCCCTGCACCAGGCCTGGGGGCTGCCCGGCTCCTGGGAGACGAGCCCCCACTCCACCTGCGGGACCTAAGCCCCTATGTCAGCTTCGTCAGCCTGGAGGAAGGCGGGGAGGAGGGCGCAGGCACCGAGAAAGTAGAAACAGAGGCAGATGGGGAGCCAGCCCCTACCAGCAGGGAGTCCCCACGGGAAGCAAACCCCCCAAGGGAGGCAGACGAGGCCCAGCAGGAGGCAGGAGGTGGCGAGGTCGGCTGCCAAGAGGACAGGGCGGAGGACGAACCAGGGCCTGAGAGGAGAAAGGGACAGAGAAGTGGTAAGAACCCAGGGCTGGCCCTGCCCTGTCCCCGCCCAGGCGTACTCCCCTTCAAAGCCCTCCTCTGCCCCTCAGAATCCAGTTAGGAGTCACAAATGGGTGGCCCTCAGGCCAATCTGGCCTAAAAAGGTGTCTTCATTGATCCACAATGTTCTTTGTTTTTTAAATTTGAGCCAACATTTAAACATTAAAAGAAAAAACTTCCAGAAGTCTGGAGTTACCCCTTCTCAAGAAAAATGTAAAGTTCCCACAGCAGGCCCACATTTCCACCTGGCAGCAAATGCTGGTTCTGTGTAGCCGCAGTCCCCTTCCGATGAGGCGTGCCCTCTCTCCCTAGTCCCCTTCGCTCAGTCTCCTAGTCCCCGTGGGCTGGGTATCCCTGACCCTGACAGTCTTTGCCCCCCACCCCCGACTTTTCCCTTTTCCCCCAGAGGCGGCCCCCCTGCACCTTTCCTGCCTCCTACTGGTGACGGATGAACATGGCACCATCTTGGGCATTGACCTGCTGATGGATGGAGGGCAGGGGAGTGCAGGCAGGGGCTCATGGACACAGAACCTGGCTCCTCGGGCCTATGCTCTCCTCTGCCACAGCATGGCCTGCCCCATGGGCTCTGGAGACCCCCGAAAGCCCCGAAAGCTTGCTGTGGGAGACGCCCAGCTGCATCGGTACAGAAACCTGGTAGAGGGTGGGGAAGCCTGGGGCCCTGGGCTCCTGAGCCCCCCAGCCTGATGCCGTCTCCACCCCCATTCAGGGAGCTGGAGAATCTGGTCCCAAGGCTGAAAGTGAAGCTAGCCAAGACCCCGATGCGGACATGGGGTCCCCGGCCTGGCTTCACCTTTGCCTCCCTTCGGGCTCGAACCTGCCATGTTTGTCACAGGCATAGCTTTGAAGTGAAGCTAACGCCCTGGTGAGCAGCCTGCAGAGATGGAGGGAGCGGAAGGAAGACCCCAACAGTCAGGCAAACAGAGAGGAAGCAGGCTGGTGGGGGGCCCTGCAGACAGACAGAGTGAGGGACAGGGAAACAAGAAGATGACACACACACAAAAAAGCTGTTATAGGCAGAGAGAGTACAAACAGACTGAGTGCGTACGGGCAGCCGCCAGGACAGATGGACAGCAGACAGGGGACCTACAGACACTAACACTGAGTGCCCACCCCCCCACCCCCCGTGACCCCAGCCCCCAGTGTGGCGCTGTCTTGTACTGCGGAGAGGCTTGTCTCCAGGCTGACTGGAAGCGATGCCCAGATGACGCGAGCCACCGATTTTGGTGCCCAAGGCTTGCAGCCTTCATGCAGCGGGCCGGAGAACTGGCAACTCTGCCTTTTACCTACACCGCAGGTACCCTAAGGAGGTCAGGATGGGTGGGGGAAAGTGGGACCCGGTCTTTGGAAGTGGGGCCCCAGGTGCCTGGGAACAGGGTCGTGGGCTTGAAGGCTAAGTGCCTGGGGCTGGAATCTAGATCCCTGGAATAACAGCTGGGTGCTGGGTATTTGGGGCTGGGGGCTAGACCCCTGGGGCTGGACACAGCATCTCTGGAGCTGAGAACTGAGTGCCCTGGTCCCTGAGAGAACTTATGGGATTCGGGAGTAGGGATTCAAACACTTGCTTCTCAGCTTCACCACTAACTGGTGACCTGAAACAAATTGCTTTACTTCTTAGAGCTATTTCCTCAACTGTGAAATGGGCAGACTAACAAATGTTAAAACCCATGGAATTGTTATGTGGGTTCTGTGGGCTACGCTGTAGACACTCAGAAATGTTAATAGTTCTCTGCCTGACTAGAACCAGACTCAGACTCAGGGTCCTGGGGAGAGAATGAGGAGAGCCAAAGCCTGGAATGCTGGCCACCAGGCCCTCAACCCCTCCCCTCATCCTTGTCCAGAGGTGACCAGTGAAACCTTTAACAAGGAGGCCTTCCTGGCCTCACGAGGCCTCACTCGTGGCTACTGGACCCAGCTCAGCATGCTGATTCCAGGCCCTGGCACCCCCGGGCACCCACGGGGCAGCACGCCATCCCTCAGCGTTCTTCTCAATGGTGCGTGGGGCCTCTCTCCAGGCATAAGTCCCTCAGACTAGAGGGAAGGACGGGAGAGCAAAAAGTTGTCTGGGTCCTAGATAGCCCCTCCACATACACACCAAACCTCACCACCACCACCAGGGCATTTCATGCCTCTCCTCAACCCTCAGAAAATTCACCCCTGCCCAGCCCATCCAGAAGCCCCATCCCTAGGCAGCTCCCCATTCCTCCTGCTGCAGCTCCAGGCCCTCTCTCAGGGAACACAGCTCCTTTGGAAGAAGGAAGAGGCCAGGTGGGGACCTCCCTGACACCAGGCTCCTCTTCTTTCATCCTCTCAGGAGATCCCTACCAGCTTCTTCAGGGGGATGGGCCTGCTCTGATGCCTCCTGTGCCCCCAGATCCACCCAGGGGCCTCTTTGGTGAGCTGGAGGGGCCCTGAGGGAGATAGGGGTAGGGACGGGGACTGGAGGGCCAGCAGTCTCGGTGGCTGAGAAAAGGGCCTATTGGACAGGAGAGGTGGGGGTCCAGGCCTGGGGCAAGGTCCCCAGTAACCCACTCTCCCCAGGCTCGTGGCAGGATTACTACACGTGGCGGGGCCTCAGCTTGGACTCCCCCATGGCTGTGCTTCTCACCTACCCGCTGACTGTGTACCACGTCATCACCCATCTGGTGCCCCAGTCCTGTAAGGAGGGCGGAGGCAGGGGGAGGAGCGCGTGGAGCTGGGGGGCCAGGGGGGTGGTAGGGGACAGGAGGGAGGGGAGGAGGAGACGTATTCTTAAATGGCTAGCTTATCACCCAGTCCCTGAGCTCAACATCCTGAACAAACAGTCACTGAAAATCCATGTGGTGGAGGCTGGGAAGGAGTTTGACCTCATCATGGTGTTTTGGGTAAGTCCCTCCAGGCCTGAGGGTTGAGCATTTGGGTGTGGAGGTGGACGCAGGTTGGGACCCAGATCTGTCCTCTTTGCCCTTCAGGAGCTCTTGGTCTTGCTCCCCCACGTGGCCCTGGAGCTGCAGTTTGTGGGTGACAGCCTGCCCCCTGAGAGTGACCAGCAGAATTTTACCCTGCAGAGGGTGAGGGCTGAGGGGGGCCCTGCTCTTTAGCCCTAACCCTCCTGCTGTCCTCCCAGCTGGGCTCTGCCCTTCCGATCCCTGCCTCCTTTCCCCTGTCTTACCTGATGCATCTCCCACTACCGAAACTTCCACTGGCTTCTCCACCCCACTCCAAACTCCCCAGGATGACCTCGAAGTATCTGTCCGTCCTGGTTCCGGGGTATCAGCACGGCTAAGCTCTGGGACTAAGGAGAAGGGGGGCCGCAGGGACCTGCAGATCAAGGTGTCTGCACGGCCCTACCACCTGCTCCAGGGGCCCAAGCCTGACTTGGTTATCGGTAAGCGCCTGGGGTAGGAGCATGGGGGAGGTGGGAGGAGGCCCTGGGAGCCAGCTTCTCCCTGCTCTCCTTTCCTCCGCAGGATTTAACTCTGGCTTTGGTCTAAAGGACACTTGGCTGAGCTCGCTGCCCCGGTTACAGGTGGGGGATGGGACAAAAGGGACCTTCTCTCACCTCCTGCCCGGTCCCTCCTCCTTTTCTGAAAGTCCCTTCTTCCCCATCATCTGCTCTACAGACCTGGGGTGTGCCAGCGGGTCCTCCTGGCCCCCTCTGTGCCTGCCTCGTGCCTCTCCCCATCCCGGTCCGCCTGGGTCCTCGGGAGGTACGTGGGGCTGGGAGCCTTTCGGAGAGTGTCTGAGGCCCCGCCCCCACCCCAGTCCCTCCGAGTGCCGGCCTTCTTCACCGAGAGCAGCGAGTACGGCTGTGTGATGGACGACCAGACCATGGCGGTGGCCACGGGAGGGGGCACCAGCCCTCCACAGCCCAACCCTTTTCGCTCCCCCTTTCGCCTCAGAGCGGCGGACAACTGTATGCCCTGGTAAGGCCTTCTTACTTTCTGGCCACGCATCCTGAAAGGCCCACCGCTACCCTCGTCTCTGCGGTCCTGGGACCCTCCTGGCCCAGCCCTACACCCTGCTTTCGCCGCCCGCACTCCCACCACCCCCGCTGGAGGGTCTCGACAACGCCCACACACCCCTCTTTAGATCCAGCTCACAAAAATCTCTCCAACTCCTC